CATGCCGAGCACCAGTCATCTTTGAGATAATATCCTCTGTGGTGGGTAGTTGTAGATGAGATCTTTTGATGGCATGGTTTAGATCCTTCGGATCAAGGCAAATACGAATACTTCCATCTGGCTTTTCAACAACTACTAGACTTGAAACCCAATCTGTTGGCTCAGTGACTTTGGATATGACCCCAAGTTTCTCCATTCTGTCAAGTTCTTCCTTAAGTTTAGGTTGGATGGTTATAGGAACACGTCGTGGAGGGTGAATAACTGGCGGAACACTAGGGTCAATAACTATCTTGTGGACTTTGGGCAGAGTACCAAGTTCTCCAAAGCAACATTCAAATTCAGAGATGAAGCTGCATGGGCAATTGTTCCTCCTTTGGTTTTACTACCATCACACGTTTAACTAAGTTTAAGTTCCCACATATAGAAAGACCCAATATTGGTGGTGAAGTCGTTTCTGTGGCAATAAACAGAGCAGGTACATCACGATTCTTTTTATGGGCAACTCGAACAATACACTTTCCAACAACAGGAATATTAGTTATAGGAACACGTCGTGGAGGGTGAATAACTGGCAGAACACTAGGGTCAATAACTATCTTGTGGACTTTGGGCAGAGTACCAAGTTCTCCAAAGCAACATTCAAATTCAGAGATGAAGCTGCATGGGCAATTGTTCCTCCTTTGGTTTTACTACCATCACACGTTTAACTAAGTTTAAGTTCCCACATATAGAAAGACCCAATATTGGTGGTGAAGTCGTTTCTGTGGCAATAAACAGAGCAGGTACATCACGATTCTTTTTATGGGCAACTCGAACAATACACTTTCCAACAACAGGAATATTAGTTATAGGAACACGTCGTGGAGGGTGAATAACTGGCAGAACACTAGGGTCAATAACTATCTTGTGGACTTTGGGCAGAGTACCAAGTTCTCCAAAGCAACATTCAAATTCAGAGATGAAGCTGCATGGGCAATTGTTCCTCCTTTGGTTTTACTACCATCACACGTTTAACTAAGTTTAAGTTCCCACATATAGAAAGACCCAATATTGGTGGTGAAGTCGTTTCTGTGGCAATAAACAGAGCAGGTACATCACGATTCTTTTTATGGGCAACTCGAACAATACACTTTCCAACAACAGGAATATTAGTTATAGGAACACGTCGTGGAGGGTGAATAACTGGCAGAACACTAGGGTCAATAACTATCTTGTGGACTTTGGGCAGAGTACCAAGTTCTCCAAAGCAACATTCAAATTCAGAGATGAAGCTGCATGGGCAATTGTTCCTCCTTTGGTTTTACTACCATCACACGTTTAACTAAGTTTAAGTTCCCACATATAGAAAGACCCAATATTGGTGGTGAAGTCGTTTCTGTGGCAATAAACAGAGCAGGTACATCACGATTCTTTTTATGGGCAACTCGAACAATACACTTTCCAACAACAGGAATATTAGTTCCATTATAAGCAGTTAACTTCACTTTCGTATTCTTTAATTTTGGCTTTCGTATCAACCTACAGTAGTCCCCCGCTAACTCGAACTCGCTTAACTCGAACTCCTCGCCAACTCGAAGTAAATCCAATTCCCCTTGGATCTGACACTGTTTTTTATAGTAATTTACTCCGCTTAACTCGAACTCGCTTAACTCGAACTCCTCGCTAATTCGAACACATTTTGTTTTCCCTTGGTCAAATTTATCCTGTTAACTCGAACTTTGTTTTCGAGTCGTGGATCGGCAAACCTTAAAATGTCAGAACATAGCATTTTGACAACCGGTAACTTGGATTTTTATTCAAATAACAACAATTTAATCGGTGTATAAATGATCATAAATTTTAAAAGATTATACACATAGACATAGTTGCGACGATTGTTATTGATCTAATTTTTTTAGTTCCTTTTGTAAATCTCTACATATTTTTCCTGTCCAAAGAACTTTAGTTTGCATGGAACTTGCACGCCTCCTCCATCACCCAAGTTAAAAAGATACTGACTAAAGAACTTTAGTTATAGGAATGCACAATTAAACTTTTTGTAATTTAGATGAACAGTATAATAAAACTTTTGTACCTTATTAATTATTAACATAATAAACAAAATCTGACACGAACTCCGGTTAACTCGAACCCTTGCTAACTCGAACAATTTTTCGTTCCCCTTGGGAGTTCGAGTTAGCGGGGTTCTACTGTATTATACTGAGATTTTGGTAAGACATTAACTTGGGCACCAGTATCTAACTTGTATCTGACATTACTACCATTAGTGTCCATGTCAACTGTCCACTCAGACTCAATCTCAGACTCGGAACCAACAGTAAAAATTGTAAATTCATTTGACTCATTTGTCTTAGTGGTTGAGTTTCTTTCTTCTCCACTTATGACAGGGTTAGTCTGAGTCTCAGTAGTGTCAACATTAACACTTCCAACAAAAAATGTGTCATCGGGTGTATCATCAGAATCACTGGAGTCACAATTAACGTTTTTGACAGACTTGTTTTTTTCTGGACAGCATCTTGCAAAATGATTAAACGTAGAACATTTCATGCATTTTTTCCCATAGGCAATACAGTTTCCTCGTTTATGAGAATAAGAGCAAAACTTACAATTTTTAATTAGGGACTTATCGTAACCAACTGATTCTTTGCCAGAGTTTTTCTTTTCATCTCTTGCTAACTTCTTTCTACAAACAGTGTCAACAGAATTCTTGCCATCGACTTCTTTCTGGAGCTCTTTTACATGTCTCTTCGTCTCCTCAGCAGCATGTCCAATTTGTATAGTTTTCTGCAGTGTTAATTCTGGCTCTCTAAGAAGACGTTCACGAAGACGGTTGTCATCAATTCCACATATTATAATGTCACAGATGAGGCTTTCACGAAGTGCTTCAAACTCACACTCAGCACTACGCTTTTTTAGCTCAGTAACGAACTCATCAAAAGATTGACCATCTTTCTGCTTACATGTAAAAATTTGTGGCGCATAAATGTAATATTATTTCTTGGACTACAGTAATCTTGAAACATTTGTACTACGACTTTGAATTTCATTTCCTCTCCTTCGACGAACTGAAACGTATTAAAAATTTCTCTACCTTCCTTTCCGACGCATGTGAGAAGTATTGATGTCTTTATTTTGTCAGATTTTCCATCCTTCTCAGTAGCAGTAAGATAAAGTTCTAGTTCTTGGCGCCACTTCTGCCAATTTTCACTAAGGTTGCCTTCGAACCTTAAACAAGATGGCGGCTCAAATTTGTCCATTTCGCTTCACCTTTCAGGCCTTTAGAGCTTATATATATAATAATAATAATAATAATAATAAAGGTTTATTAGCATAATCCACAAAGTGGCTCTTCTTACGCTAATTACAATAAAACTAACTACTGCTTTAACTACAAATATATATATACAATTATATACAAATATATATACAATTCAGAGTCTTTCTGTTGCTAAAATAAGCCTTAGCTAATTTTATAAAGCTAAAATAATTAGTGCATGATCTAATGTCCTCAGGTAAAGTGTTATATACTTTAGCGCAGCAGGCCTGAAATGTGCCGTCTTCCAAGGGAACCTTTAATTTATGTTCTGTTGATGAACGAAGTGTCCTATTAGGTGTATTTTTCTCAAGTTTTAAATAGGAAGGCCATTGCTGTTCATACAAAGCTTTTGATAAATTAAACTCCCTGCGTTCGACAACCGGAAGCCAGCCTAAGGATAAGATTTCCGGCATGGTAGCAAACCGTCCCAAAACAAATCCCGCTGCTGCCAGTTGGACGCGCTGCAGACATTTCATCAAATAATCTGGGATTGGATTTGATACAGCATCGTTGTAATCGACCTTCGACAGAATGAGTGTTTCGGCAAGTTGCTTTCTCACTTTAAAAGATGCTAAGTTTTTAAGTTTCCTTAAAACGGACAAGTTTCCATAGCAACTAGAGATTTTAGAATTAATTTCGTTATTCCATTTCAAGTTCTCCTGAAATTCAGTACCAAGTAGACGAGTGCTTGCAATTCTTTCCACTGACTGGCTATTCACCGTTAAATTGACTGACTGTCCAGCTAAATTGTGAGTCTAGCAAGTTGTGGTGTTGAAAATAACATGGCTTTGGTCTTTTTTGGATTCAAGGCGAGATTACAACCATTTGACCAGGATGACAAATAATCCATGGCTGTTTGCAGTTGATTTTCGCAACCGTTCTATTTCGGTAAGCTTTCCCTGTGTGTATAATGACGTGTCGTCTGCATATTGATAGGATGTTACTTCAGTTAGACCATCGCTCAAGTCATTTACATATAGATAACCAAATGCGGAACTTAATGGCAACTTTATTGTTTAAATTACACCTGACACCATGTTGTGATCAAGAGACATGACCAAGAAAAGTAACATATATTTTATAAAGTAAAATAAACAGGCCTAATACAGCAATACTAAATTGTGTCATCGTTAAACAAAACAACATGCTTATTTATAGTCTCAGGCTTCCAGGCGTATTGCCAGGCATGCAGGCAATAATATAAATAAATTAACATAATCATTACAGTCTGTTATCTGTTTTAATCAGCTCTGAAGTGCTTAACCTTTTTATATTCTGAGTTCTATAAAGTATCATGTCGACAACAGAATCCGACAGTAGCTATCAGTCCGATGATTCCGGTGAGAATTTTATACCTGGTTAATATGTTGTGTTGGAAGAGCTGATTATCTGTAGCATCTCATCAGGTCCGTAGTATTAAAGGGAAATGCCAATATATTTTTTTATTTTCTCGTTTGAAAGAACATTTAAAACCATATACCGTTTTTTGATATCTTGCTTACTTCTACGAATATTTTAATCGAAAGAAATGAAATGTCCACCATCTTGGATTTTTGTAGATATGCATGTTACGTCACAAGAAAAACACGATAAGGGACACGAGAAAAACAAAGTAAAACTAATCTCCATTTATATTAGCGACTGTTTTTTAGTTCCGTCCGTGTCTCAGATTTGGCGCATCTTAAGCTCCCTACTATATATGTAGAACATGGACGTTCTATGACTTTGCAAGATTCATATCTTCGGTTCGGTGCATGCTATTACTAATAAAATTACTACCATTCGATTCAGTGAAATAAAATCTCCTAATTCCTAACAATAGTTTTAGTGATTTAGTCAAATATAGTTTTATCAAATAGCTATTTATGACCTTTGAGAGGTCAAGCGGTGTTATGAGTCATTAGTCTTGAACAATGTAAACTAGCTATACCTTTAGCCGAACATAACTTCGGCCCCTTTGGATATATCTTTTTCGTAATAGTCTTATTCGAACCGGAATCGAAAACACTACTGATTTAGAGCATGTTATTTTCAAGCTTGTGTCTTCAGATTTGCACTTTTATTTCGGTATTACAAAATATTTATATTTTTAGCGGGCCCGTAAAAAGGGAAAATACAAATTGAATCATCAAAACAAAGCAAATCATCGTTAGTCTTTAATAGCTTCGGATAGTTAGACTTGCCGAGCCCCGGTAACGAAAAAATTGGCTCTCGTAATCCGCTGTTCTACAATGATCCGAGCATATACTGCAGTCGGAGTCTTTGACGGCACAAAAAAAGTTTTGCGCATACAAAATCAACCCTTACTTTTCTTCGTCTTTTAGCTTCCGTGCGTTTGTCATTGAAGTATATATGGAATATTGTGTAGACTTATTCCATCTTTTAAACATGCTTTATTGGTACAGTTAGCTGTAACACCGTAAAAAGGCATATATTTTTCGATCACAATTCACAAATTTACATATATATGCGAATAACAGAATATGCCGACTCACTTGCGTGACGTAACAAAAATCGCTCGTTCCAGTTTATTTGGACACGGACGGCTGCCTACCAAAAGCCCAAATTTTGCGTGTTCAAACGGCTCTAAAATTTTTCGTTTAGATGAAATGGAAAAATTCTTTCGCTAGAACACTACACTAAATGAGTACTTTCAATCGACTGAAAATCATTTTTTGTGTCAGGGGCACTTTAATAAGAATACCTCGCTTTGAGATGTTTATATTTCATACAATTGTTCCTGCATGTGCCTCACTGTATTTGTATTTCAGTCTTTGTCGGGCTATAATATGTTCTTTTGCATGACAACTTCACAGGATTTATTTGTATTAATACATCTCTAAATTTGTTATACTTAGTGACACCATACACTATTCCCCTATTTGTATTTGCTATTCTTCCTTTAGAATAAGCCCTCGGCAAAACGGTGCATCTCGGGTAATCAGGGCAAAATTGAAAAAAATATTTGACCTGTGCAGTGGATTTCAAAAGATGCATATTTCACGGTATTTCTTTTCAATTCTGCCCTGCATGATTACCCGAAATGCACCGTTTTGCCAAAAAGGCTTATGAGCCGAAGGCAAGAGTTTGTATATCCGATACAACACAGACGCAAATGTTGTAAAAATGGCATATGAAACGTATTGATGACAAAATTCGTATTCTTCAACAATTTAAAATAAATTATGGATATTTGGTGAGAAAATTAAACTAAAGCTTATGTAAATCAGCATGATTCTGTATCTGATATTATACAAACTCCTTCACGTAAATGATTTCTTTGGTGTTTTGTTCATAAATTCTTAATGAGTTTCGCAAAGAAATATATTAGATTTTCAGCATTAGGTAGATACAGTACTGTACATATATACAATAATAACTTTATTAAAAGAGAATCTAGAATGGTAGTATGGGCCAGTGACATCTCAATAACAATAACCTTACCGTATTTCCATTTATCGCATCATACAGTTTTTTGTCTTCCTCCAATAATTCTTCGACACTATCGAGGTAGTTGTCTACAGTGTCAATGAATTTCTGAAAAAAGTATATGAGACTGTCAACATTCATAATAATTTGCAAAGGACTTAACTTAAAAAATTGCCAAGTTTTATTAATGCTCACTATATGTAAAATTTCTTATTTTAACAGTGCTATATATATAAACTTTGGAACTTGTCCTTCATAAGGCCAGTTTGAACAATACAAAAATGGGAATAAAAAAATTAATCATGTTAGCGTTCTGTTAAAACCAGCGTACCGCAAATAATAGCAAAAGCAAGGAATGCCTAAAGATTGACAACAGAACTAAAATTTTACTACATACGATAAAACTCACGAAGCAGTAACTGTGACTCATAAGGCCAATTTGATCATGGAATATTTTACTGTATATGGTGTATACACAGTCTGAAGTGTCAAACGTTGACCTTCTGTCGTAGTAATTCTGCGAAGAGCACTTGCTTGTAGTTTTGAGACAAACGCAGGATAAAGCTACGTTTACACGCTGCGATTTGTCGTGTACGATTCATATTCTCATGGCGTTGCCATAATTATGGCGACGCCATAATATTAGATGTTACATATACCATGCAACATCTAGTATAAAGCTTGATCCACAATATATCTACATCAATATCTTACATCATCTGGTACCCAAATACTAAGTGTGGCTTTTCGGCAGTTCTTATCCTCTGTCCAAGATTCAATATATTGCCCTTTAACGTCCTACAAGTATATAAAGCAATAAATTACATCACCATAGTCAGCCATACTTTGATGACAAGTGACGACTAACACCGCTCCCGTCATCTCTAAATACAAGTAGGGATCCAAGGATATATAGTGCAAAGTTTCAAATTGAGAAAGACACTGCAAGTGTAAGGACCATAAAGTGGAAAATGCAGAGTCTCATTAAAATAGAATCTTTGGACAAAATAAATATTTTTTACATTTCCACTTTTGCACTAAAAAGGGCAGAAAGAAACACTAATCAATGTAACTCTATTTCTAAAAGAGCTACCGACACTTACATCAACAAAATAATGAAGCTTCATTAACAAAGCAATGATGTGGGGTTCATTCCTTGCGTTTTTTGGATGCGACAAATCTAGATCTATTTGCGCCATGTTAATTTTCAGAAATTAACTAATCGACCCAACCGGACAACCTAAAATGAAAATAAAAAATATCAACCATTTAAACCAATACTTTCAGTGACATGTGTCACATTATATGGGTCAGGTAGCTTAGGGAAACTATTAACACTTTCATTATATTGTTAGTTATCAAACAGCAGCAGGCCTCTGCCAGCCGTTTTCATTTATATGTTTTGATCATAACCTTCTGATAGACACTGACTTCCACTGCTGCGCTGAGTGGTTATATTACTACCTTAAAAAATAAGCAGAAACTTGACGTTTCGAGCGAAGGCCCTTCGTCAAGAGTTAGTAGCCAAGGGCCTTCGTTCGAAGGGCCTTCGCTCGAAACGTCGAGTTTCTGCTTATTTTTTAAGGTAGTAATATAACCACCCAGCACAGCATTTTCATATATAGGCAGGTATTTTGATACGCATATCATTGCTGTAACTTTGGTAGAACTAAACATACAATAGGATGACATGCCAAAGTCAGTGAATTTTGCTTATAATGATTTTTGAGACGTTCTCTGGTTGAAAATTTTTTATTTACGAGCTTTCGGCTGCCAGATTGCAGCCTTCAACGGGGAGTTATAAAATACAGTGATTACAGACAACTGTACGGTTTACAATTACAGATTGACGCATACGCCTACGCTACGCCTACGGTTAACAAATTACAGTGACAAACAAATAACTGGAAGTGATAGTTCCACCTATATATATGTTCGGATAATAATTGTTCTATTTCTTTAATAAAAAACGGTATTGTTCTGGTAAATGTTTGGAATTATTGTCTGCGTTAGCTGTGAGTGCGGTGTGCCAAGACTCCAATGTAGAGGGTCGTGAAGGGGGGGGGGGTCGTATCCCATTTCCCAGCCCAAATTTTGACTAAATCCCATTGTCCCAGAGCACAAATCCCATCATCTCAGTGGTTGTCCTGCTCAAATCTTAATCCCATTCCCATTTTCTATTGTTTTGTTGCTAATAAATCCCAGTCCCAGTGCATGAAATCCCATTTCCCCACCCAAAAAAAAGCATATCCCATGCAGTTCCCATTTTACCCCTTCAGGACCCTCAATGTAGCTCTGTGGCAGTAATTTGCCTTGTCGATTATCTTGCCATTGTCAAAATCAATTTTATGGTCATAAGACCAGGTATGATTCACAATATTCGAGCCCGCTTTATACTCGGATCACGGCCGAGAAACTAGTCCAAACACAAATACTGCTAGCAAAAATTACATCAAACTTTTCCATCTTAGAAAATGCATTTAACAAAGATTTTATAAATTAGATAAAGTACCTATCGGAATGACGAATTACAAATTCAGAAATGATGGTTTTCTAAGGAAAAAGTGGAGACGTGATTTGTGACAAGTGCGAATTCTACATCTATTATTTATGTGGTTGGCATGCAGTCCATACTGACGTTTTCGTCCAGTCCAAACCGGATGAAGACTATTGGCAACCAGGCTTTTAGCCAGGGTCCTAAAAGAGGGCGTCCAATTTTGACATAACTATAGATCTACCGTAAAGAGGGGTTTGGGGGGGGGGGGGTGGTTAGAGAAAACGTTCCTCTGGAAAACCTTTGAAGTTTATGTTACTTCATGTTAGTATCTTTCCAACCTCGTTTGAATTTTTTCAAAAACACTTGGCTTTGTGAGTTTGTGCCACTATTGCTTCTTTACTTATAAAAATGTCAAATGTATAATAATAATGAGAATTGAAGCTATTTCGTTTCGGATATGTTAATATACTTGGGGAATCATTGAAAATAATTTCCTTTTTCACCCATAATTTGGGCGTCCAAAGGCGTCCACCTTTTGTTCTAGGGTGTGACGTGAAACCAGTCAAGTCTGAACATTCTTAACTCAATTCGATCCGCCAATATTAATTTCCGACGTATATGACGGGAAGATTAAATATTAAAGAACTTCGCGAGTATTTGCAGTAGACATACGAAAATACCACCAAAAAATTCCGCTTGATCGATACTATATATTCAGAAATATTCATATAATTTTATTGTTTCTCGCTCAATTTCAAGCGAATTTCTTACCTTGAAATGATCAATGCGGTGAAATTTATGCAAATGACACATTATCAATTTTGCAGTTGCATTTTGAATGTTCCGCCTGATTCAAATGCTCGTCTTTTTGCTTCTTTTCAACGTATAATAATAACAAATATACCAAAAGAATCGCCATCTTCCATTCTATAGCTCGGAGCAGTCTCGGGAAATTGCGAAATAATCTAAGCCTATTATGGCAATTCTCGTGATCGGAAAGTGTTCGGCCAACTTCGGACGCCAAATTCTTGGTAAAGCATTACAGTTTCCTGGTAAAAGACTGCAGGAATCACTTCCGGAGTGTTTGTTTACCCTAGATACGGATTTTGATTGGCTTAGGCAGAAAAACAAATCTTTTAGAGCAATTTTCCTGATTATCGCGCACGGGAACGCACGAGCGTTGAAATGTATTGTGTTGTAGTTTTGTTTGAATCGCATTCTGAAGACGTTTTTGGCTTTATTTTGCAAACTGATAGTGCTAGTAATGATGGAATGTCTTCGTATGAAGACAAGTATCTCAACCTGGCATTGGGAGTCGTGTCTGGAGTTTCAAGGCAAGTATTTGTATCATTTCTAGACAATTTCTATTTCAATGTTTTGCCGTTGCCATGGCGTTGTAAATTTATTTGTATTTAGTATGGCTTCACTAGTACGACCAAGTATGTCCTCATATCGCTTTTTTGTGTTGAAATAATCGTTTCATACTGAAATTGACAAATATAAATGGTATTTATTTATATTGTTGACGAAAATTTATGGTGTTTTAGGCATAAAAATCTCTGATTCCTAGGCGAGGTAAAATTAGCCTTGAGCACATGTTTGGTTGTTTGTTACATACATAATAGCCAAGTATTCATACTTATATCTTACTAGTTGGCTCTTTTTATAATTTTATATGGCACCATGTCTATAAAAGTTTTTATTCGCACTGATGAATATATTGATCCTGTTCCTATCTGCTGTTCCTGTTTCATAGCCTCAGGGAAGTAGAGTTCTGATGAGTCACCAACCCAGAGGGAAGGTAGGGGGATGAGTAGAGGTAGAGGGAAGCCCAGCCATTAGGACCTAAGGTTTCGAAAGCTACCTGTCTAGCATCCCCACTAGGCCCCATAGTACATGACGGATATGATGATCCTGACACCAGGAATGTTCTCCCAGATTTTGCTCCTCACTGACATGTCCAGGATCCATTTCGATCAACTGTGAGCTTGAGTTCATTCGGCTCAATGAACTGTGAGCTTGAGTTCATTCGACTCTTTTTTACTAAGGGAATGCTTCAGGAGGTAGTTTCCTGGCCATACCAATACATATGCCCACATACAAATAACTCAAAAGTTATCCCCATATGCTAATAAAAAAGGGTCTTGCAGTCCACCAACCTTGAGAGGTTGATTGCCTTTTAGTATAATATGCAGGTTTGCTAAAGGTCGACAGTGAGATTGAAAATTATTGGAGTGTAAAAACCTTATATCATGGTCTGTGGGCAATAGACATAATTTCTCAGGTTAGGTACAAAGCGCTTATGGCTTTT